CGGTGCACGGGGCGGCGGCGGTCCGCGAGGTCCGCGTCGACGCGGGGCGCGCCGCCCGCGCAACGCCCCTGCTGAGCTGGGCTACGGCGCACATCACTGACCGGGGGAGAGGGGTTCCTCCCTCCCTTTCATGCGGAGAAGTTCGCGGACACGTGTCTTTGGAAGGGGCGGGGGGGGGGGATTAATTCCCCTGGACTGGACAGCGCCCTGAGCCATCTCCTCAACACACCAACTCACATTCTTACAGCGACACGACAGACCTAACCCACCCAGGGAACCAAGTCGCCCACCGGCTTGCACCTCTGCTCGGAAAGGACTGTAGACTGCAGAACGTTAAAATGTTGTTTCGCCGTACCCATTTCGTATACCTTACCTGGTCTTGGTCGGAACTTGACGGGAGGAGAGAGATGGAAACTAACATTCGTATGGACCTTCTTTTTAATGCGTAAGAAAAGATGCAACACACTCGCTAGAACTTCGACTTGACTAGATTAAATTGTCATCACATCTTCACTAAGCGAACTTTTTCAGTAATTTTGCACCATAAAAAATTGTAATAGCATATACACATGTAACAAAAATAAAAATCTGTGTTGTTGTTAATTGACGACTGTAATTACTCGGGGTGCTCTTGTCAGTCTTTGCTGCAGTGTGGCGGGGCCAGCGGGGTCACACCCCTCTCCACAGTCAGGTAGGTTCCGAGCCATTCCCTCGCGCCACGGGGCCCTGCGGGGCCGAAGCCGGGCGAAGCAGTAGACCTTTCGCCCCACATTCTCCTCTTCCTCTCTGCATAATGGTAAAATACCCGTTGGATCTGAAAATAGAGAGGTAAATGTGAGTTTCACACCGCTGCCGATAGTTTGAGAAGGGCGGAGAACGGCATGACAGATGGCCGATTGGGGTGGCTTCAGGTAGACCACTTGCTGTACAGTACTCCGTACCGGTAAACGACCCTCCGGACGATGCCGATGTCCGGAGGCAACGCCAGATAAGGTCGACGAGACGCTTCGGGGTGGCGATTACCCCCAGTATTTTCAATCGGCCATTTAGGCCCTAGGAGTTGTATGCAGATCAGTGACACTCTGAACGAACATAACTTCCTGCCCTCTCTTTTGAGGTTTCACATTGACATAAAGTGTGGATGACAGTGGTGGTATGATCTGCGGCGTAGTATTAGATTAGATTAGTTTTATATTTATGTATGTACTGCATGAAACCGCACTCTGAACTATTTTGTAAGCCTATCTCCTTGAAGCAGTTGAACACTTAGTTTATCAATCAGTGTCCTCCATTTTCGCCCTTGCCTGTATACCCCAGCCAGAAATAGAATTCGATCGACGTCGAATC